TGTTAAGATAACCTTCTTGAAGAGATTAAACATGTTGAATTTTGAAGGAAGTCTGAGATTCTAAGAGGTAGAGGTGAGGTGGGAATGACATCCAGGCATGGGGAACAGGCTATGCAAAAGTACTGAGACAGGAAATGAAATATTAAATATATGGAATAGAAAGTTGCACTGACACACTGATTTTATGAAGGACAGCAATGTTCAATAAGTTGCTAGTTTATGAATGGTTTTAAAAGCCAAACAAGGAGCTTTTGCATTTTGTCAAAGAGACAAGAGAAAGCTAGAAAGCCTTGAGTAGAGGAGTGAAATGGCCAGACCTTTGCCTCAGTAATATCAATTTGATAGTTGTGTAGATGGGGGACTAGAAGGGAAAAATACTGGAAGCAAGGGAAAGCAATAAATTATCTATTAAGGTATAATGATTTTAATTGGGGATACACATGCATTTATAAAATATATTTCATCCTCTATACTAGACTATGAGATATTTGAGGAAAAAAATCATGTTTTATTCATCTTTTTAATTCCCTTTTCCTCCCTCCAATGCCCAGGACACAGCACTTACCTAATGAATATTTATTATATTAAGTAAATAGCTATCATAGGAGTGAGTTCAATCTATAATTTTCCTATTCAGGTGCCCTGAAAATATCCCCTACAAACTATAAATGGAGTTTAGATTATCTTTTATTGGGCATTCCATTGGAAAAATATTAAACAGTTTGATGAACTTTCAGAGGTAGAGCCAAGATGGTGGAAAAGATGAAGCACTCTAGCCAAGTTCTCCCAAGATTCCCCTCCAAACAACTTTAAAATAACACCTTGGTTGAATTCTGGAGCAGCAGGCTCCAGATGGATTTGGTAAATCCATTACCTAACTCCAGAGTAGAGAGGAGTGCTTTTGGTCACAAAGAAGCAGGGGCCCTAAGGAACAGCAGTTAGCACTTGTAGCTGCAAGCTTATCAGGGGCTCTTTTCAGGGGCTCTTCCTGGGAAAGGACCAGAGCACAGACCAGGAGGGTAATGACCACACCTTTTCATGAATAAAGTCTCCTTGGAAACACCAAAAACTTTCAAACCTCCAGAACTAGCTCTGAAAACAACAACTTGAAAAAGCCTAAAATTTGGGACAGACTTCCCCACAACTGTGCACCCCTGCTCTTCCTGGCCCTATGTTGGAAACAAAGCCCAACTTTAACATAATGTCCAAGGTCAAGAAATAAGTGGGGAAAATAAGCAAGAAACAACAACAACAGCAACAACAGAACCTGATCATAGAAAGCTACTATAGTGACCAGGAAGATCAAGACATAAACTCTGAAGACAACAATGTCAAAACAGCTAAAAGCAAAGCCTCAAAGAAAAAAAAGGGAATTGGGCAAAAGACCAAAAAGAATTCCTGAAAGAGCTAAAAATGATTTTAAAAAATCAAATAAGAATGATATAGGAAAATTTAAAAATAAAAAGCGAGGAAAAGCAATTATGATCTCAGATAAAGCAAAAAGCAAAAGTATATTATTAATTAGTCAAAAGAGATAAACAGGGACACTATATCTTGACAAAAGTTACCGTAGACAATGAAGTAATGTCAGTGCTAAAATATATATGCACAAAATGGCATAGCATCCAAATTCTTAAAGGAAAAAATAAATGTATTACGGGAGGAAACAATAAAATTATTCTAGTGGAGGACCTCACCTTTCCCTTCTCAGAGCTAGATAAATCTAACCATAAAATAAGAAAGAAGGTAAGGAGATGAATAGAATTTTAAAAACATTAGATAAGACAGATTTCTGCAGAAAACTGAATGGGAATAGAAAGGGAGATTCCTTTTTTTCTCAGCTGTGCATTACACCTTCCCAAAAATTGACCAAGTGTTATGGCATAAAAATTCACAAATGCAATACTGGGAAGTCTAAATGCCAAGACAAACCCAGAAACTATGAACAAAATTACAAAATACTTTGCACAAAAACATCATAACAACTGGAGAAATATTAATCGACCATAGTTAAGTTCATCCAATAGAATAAAAATGACAATTCTATCTAAATGTGTTTACTTATTCAGTGTCATGCCAATCAAACTACCAAAGAACTGCTTTGTAGATCTAGAGAAGATAATAAAGTTCATCTGGAAGACAAAAGGTCAATAATATCAAGGGAATCAATAGAAAAAAAGGTAATGGAAGGCAGCTTAGTGGTACCAGATTTCAAGCTGTAGTACAAAGCAGTAATCATCAAAACCATCTGGTACTGGCTAATAAATAGAGTTATCAATGGAATAGACTAGGTAAACAGTGCACTGTAGTAAATTACAATAGTAATCTATTGTTTGATAAATCCAAAGATCCAAGCTTTTGTGGAAAAAATTCAATATTTGACATCCTGGGAAAATTAGAGAACAGTTTGGCAGAAACTAGGCATAGACCAACACCTCACACCATATACCAAGATAAGATCAAAATCAGCACATGATTTAGGCATTAAAAAAAATATCCTAAGCATATTAAGGGAGTGTAGAAAATTTTATATGTCAGAACTATTGATAAGGGAACAATTTATGACCAAATAGGGGATTAAAAGGATCAAGGGAGGTAAAATGAATTATTTTGATTACCTCAAATTTTGCAAAAAAATTTACACAAACAAAACCAATGAAGTCAAAATTAGAAGGAAAGAAAGAAGCAGAGGAAATTTTTTTTACAGCAAGTTTATCTGATAAAGGCCCCATTTCTCAAATATACAGACAACTGAAGTAAATTTATAAAAATAAAAGCCATTCTCCCAAATGATAAGTGGTCAAAAATATGAACAGGAAGTTTTCAGACAAAGAAATCAAAGCTGTCTACAGTTATGTAAAAAACCCTCTAAGTCATTATTTATTTTTAAGCAATTGGGGTTAAGTGACTTGCCCAGGGTCACACAGCTAGTGAGTGTCAAGTGTTTGATCTGAGGCCAGATTTGAACTCAGGTCCTACTGACTCCAGGGCTGGGACTCTATCCACTGTGCCACCTAACTGCCCCCCCCAAATCACTATTGATTACAGAAATGAAAATTAAGATAACTCTGAGGTACCATCCTATGCCTTTCATATTGGCTAACACAATAGAAAAGGACAACGATAAATGCTGGAGGTGATAGAAAAAAATAGAAGAATTAATGCATTGTTGGTAGAGTTGTAAACTAGTCTAACCATTCCAGGAGCTATTTGGAATTGTACCCAAAGGGCTATTAAATTGTGCATACCATTTGACCCAGCAATACCACAACTAGGTCTATATCCAAAGACATTAAAGAAAAGGGGAAAAATATCTATTTGTACAAAAATATTTTTAGTAACTCTTTCTGTGGTTGTATAAGTTGTGATATATGATTTTGATGGAATACTATTGCATTAGAAAAAAATGATAAGCAGACTGGTGTCAGAAAAACCCAGGAAAACATATGAACTCATGAAAAATAAAGGAATCAGAAATAAGAGAACATTGTATACAATGACAGTAATATTATAAGGATGATCAACTGTGGAAGACATAGTGACTCTGATCAAGAAAATGATGCAAGACAATTCCAAAGGACCCATGATGAAAAATGGTATCCACTCCAGAGAAAGAACTAAGAACTATAAATGCAGACTAAAGCATACTTTTTTCTCTTTCTTAATTTCTCTTACTTTTTTTTGAAACATGGCATATGATTGGCATTATTTCACATGTATAATTGATATCATACTGATTGCCCTCTTAATGGAAGGGAGATGGGCAAGGGGGAGGAAAAGAATTTGGAATTCAATTTTTAAAAATTGAATTTTAAAAACAAATATTTTTAAAAGGATGGAAATTTATAAGCTAAAATTCCTCATTGACACAAACACTGCAAAGATGCCAATGGAAGAAATAACAATTTTAACTATGAATTGAGTAAAATGATTTGTTTCAAGTTGTTTCTAGTCCTCTACCCACCATGCAAAATAGTCTAACACAAGGCAAAACACAAATGCTAATTTATTTTCCCTTTGATAAGTAAAGTGTAATAAGAATTTAGAAAAAGACCCACATTTTTGTACACTGAAATCACAGATGTTCCGGCTTCTTTTTGTTCATACTCATACTGCTTCAGTTATGAAAACCATTATGATTTATATTCTATATCCTACCATATGATTTATGCCCTCATTCATTTTACTACGTTAATTTGCTCCCTCACCCTTACCATCACTGTCTTGACCCAGATTTGATTGTAATCATGAATAATAAGTTTAAATCTCATATGACTTAGGTAAGGTTGGAGCAATAATGCTGTTGGGTTTCTGTTTCATAAAAAAATCCCAACACATTTTGTTATGTTTATTACTTCAATAGTCCAAGGCAGTCTTCATGAATTATGGCCAAAAATTAATAACCTGAGGACCAAACTTATAATAAAGAACCTTTCTAAATAGGACATGCCCTTCAAGAAATCAGTGTCATGTCTATAATTTGCAGACATCAGACTAGGGCTTTTATAATAACTTAAATGTATTAAATCACACAGATTAATAATAATAACAACAACATTAACATTTATGTAGCACATTGAGGTTTACAGAGCACTGTACAAATATTACCTCATTGTATTTTCTTCACACAACAAATTTGTGAATTAAGTACCTTATTATTCCCATTTCATAAATGAAGAAGCTGAGACAGACATAGCTTAAGTTATGGGCCCAGAGTCACACAGCTAGTGTGTGATGCCATATTTAAACTCAGTTCTTTCAGACATTGGGTCCAAAGTTAGTTGCTGTAAGGATCACTAGGAGAATAATCATAAGGTAATCAGATAAATGAAAAAGGCCCTTATATAAATAAATGTAAAATATTTCTGTAAAACTATCAAAGATCAATCAATCAATAAGCATTTATTTAGTCCCTACAGTATGTGTAAAATATAATATGATTTGTTGTGTACATAACTATTAGAAGTATAGTTAGTTATGTGTAATTTACCATACATCACCTGTGGGCATTCTATTGCTAGGAGACAGAGTAGTTCAATGGTTTCAGCAGAGGACTGGGAAACAAATGGTCTAATTTTGGCTTCAGTTCTTACTTTCTGTATCTGCAAAATAATAATAATAATAATAATGATAATAATAATAATAATAATGCCTCTCATTCATCCTCTTCTGATAGGATGTTTTGAGTACTAAAAGTTAATCTTCAAAACAGTTAACAAGCATAAAGGACTTTTAAAAGGCTAAACTGCTGTGTAAGAATTTTTCTTGAAACTGCTGTATCTTGCTTACAACAGACTTCTCTGGTCCATGGATCACTCCTTTTAATATCTGTTTCATTGATTTTCTGATATAAGATCTTAACAACAAATGAAAAGCTTAAGCCCAACAATTAGAGAAAGATTATGGACTAAAGTACCATTACAAAGAAGATACTTCTAATGAGATCTATTTGTAAAATCAGTAAGTAGTGTGCCGTGTTAGACAAGTTAGGCTATTTATGTGGCCAAAGTGCATCTTTTTTCCAGTCTCAAAAAAGGTTTACTTTCATATCATTTATATCTATATTAAACTGTATTTCTTCCTCCTCCTCCTAAGATACAGAACTTGACTCAATGTTAAGTCAACACGAAATTCATACCCCACACTCTCCACTTTGCAATATTGAGAAAATAGGAAAAGCAGGCAAACTGGATTATATTAACAGGCATTTTTCTCAGCTTACACCCATAAATTTTTGTAAATGAATCATTTAGTTGGACATTTTCCTCTTAGCTTTAGGATTAAAATAATGTTCTACTTTGATTTAGGACAGCATTGCCACTTAATGTATTAACTCAATTTACTGGTACTGGTGAAATCTCACAGTATTTTTCTTTTTCCCTCTTAGTACATGCAATGATTCTGACCCTCTTAAGAAGGAAGGTATAGCAATATTATTAGCAGAAGGAGAAAGAAGAAGAGAACATAAGGAAGAGGAGAAGGTAGTGGAGAAAAAGGATGTGGAGAAGGAAAGGAGGAGGAGAAGAAGAGGGTGAGGAGAAAGAGAAGGAAGAGGAAGAGAAGGTGTTTCAAATACTGCCTTAAAGACTGCTAAGGGATGGCAGAGGAAAAGCAATGACTTGCATGAGCTCTCCCCCAAACCCCTCCAAAAACCTGCAAAAAATGGCTCTAAACAAATTCTAGAGCAGCAGAACCCACAAAATACAAAGGGAAACAAATTTTGAGCTCAAGACAACCTGGATGGTTGATTAGAAATATCTGTCGCAGTGGGCTGGGAGAGAAATGCAGTTCATCGTGTGCGAGCAGAAAAACCAGTCCTGAGTGAACCTGGAGCAGGCCTCAGAGAACTGAATGATGTGCAGCTGTGGTGGTTTCCAGACTTCTCAACCCATTAATGCCAAAGACAACTTAGAAGATCAATAGGAAAAGTCTGTGATCTCAGTGAAAGAGAAGCTAGGTCCCAGACCTAGTCTACATGTTGCCCTAGGGTGGTGGCTGCTTCTGGAGCTTTGGGCCCACAAACTGAGGGGAAAGTGAGTGGCTGATCAGAGGGGGATTGCAAGGATCTCTTTGCTGGTACTGAGGCAAGATTCTCTTACTTTGCCTGTGCTTGGATCTGGTTCACAGTTGTGGGTGGCCGTCCTGGGGAAAGGAGTGCTGGTGTGGTGGAGCTTGTAGTGACAGTGGATAGGGAATCCTCCTCATAGTTCCAAGGCAGAAAAGAGTGTTTATCATCACTCCAGATACATAGGCCAGGAAAGAAGTAAAAACCTCGCCTTGATCACACCTTGGAAGTACTGAAAACTTACAGGTCCCAAGAAGTATGTCTGAAAATAGCTGCATAACCCCCCCAAAGCTTGGGACAGTACATTCTCCACAATGGAAGCAGACCCCTACCTTAACAAAGAGTTTATAACTCAAGTAATTGGCTGGTATCTTGAACAAAGTGTAGAAAAAAGTCAGACCATAGAATCTTTCTTTGGTGACAAAGAAGATCAAAACATACACCCAGAAGATGACAACAAAGTCAAAGATCCAACATCCAAAGCCTCCAAGAAAAATGTGAATCACTCTCAGGCCATGGAAGAGCTCAAAAAAGATTTTGAGAAGCAAGAAAGACAAGTAGAGGAAAAACTGGGAAGAGAATTGGAAGTGATGCAAGTAAATCAAGAAAAACTAGTCAACAGCTTGCTAAAGGAGACCCAAAAAAATACTGAAGAAAATAACACCTTAAAAAATAGCCTAACCCAAATGGCAAAAGAGGTCCAAAAAGCCAATGAGGAGAAGAATGCCTTAAAAAGCAAACTGGCCAAATGGAAAAGGAAGTCCAAAAGCTCACTGAAGAAAATACTTCCTTAAAAATTAGAATGGAGCAATTGGAAGATAGTGACTTTATGAGAAATCAAGACATTGTAAAACAAAACCAAAAGAACGAAAAAATAGAAGATAATGTGAAATATCTCATAGGAAAAACAACTGACCGGTAAAATAGATCCAGGAGAGACAACTTAAAAATTGGACTATCTGAAAGTAATCATCAAAAAAAGAGCCTAGACATCATCTTTCAAGAAATTATCAAGGAAAACTGCCTTCTAGAGCCAGAGGGCAAAATAGAAATTGAAAGAATCCACCAAGTACCTCCTTAAAGAGATCCCCAAAGGAAAACTCCTAGGAATATTGGAGCCAAATTCCAGAGCTCCCAGGTCAAGGAGGAAATATTCCAAGCAGCCAGAAAGAAACAATTCAAGTATTGTGGAAACACAATCAGGATAATGCAGGATTTAGCAGCTTCTACATTAAGGGACCTCAGGGTTTGAAATATGATATTCTGGAGGGCAAAGGAGAGAGGATTACAGCCAAGAATCACCTACCCAACAAAACTGAGTATAATCCTTCAGGGGAAAAAATGGACATTCACTGAAATACAGGACTTTCAAGCATTCTTGATGAAAAGACCAGAGCTGAACAGAAAATTCAACTTTAAATACAAGACTCAAGAGGTAAACAGGAAAGAGAAATCATAAGTGACTTATTAAGATTGAATTATCTACATTCCTACATGAAAAGATGATATTTGTAACTCCAGAGATCTTCATTAATATTAAGGAAGTTAGAGGGGAAAAATTATATGCATAGATTGATTGATAGATAGAGGGCACAGGGTGAGTTGAAGATGAATGGATGATATCTGAAGCATAAAATTAAGGAGTGAGTAAGGATTATACTGGGAGAAGGAGAAAGGGAGAGGTATAATGGGGTAAATTATCTGACATAAAACAGACTACAAAAAAAGGCTTTTACAGTAGAGGGGAAGTGGGGGACAGTGAGAGGGAATAGATGAATCTTATTCTCATTGGATTATGGCTGAAGAAGGGAATAACATACACTCTCAACTGGGTATGGAAAGCTATCTTACCCTACAGGAAAATAGGGGGAAAGGAGGATATGATAAAGGAGAGGGCAAATTGGGGGAGGGGGTAATCAGAAGCAAACACTTCTAAGGAGGGATAGTTTTGAAAGAGAGAATAAGATAAATGAGGGCTGGGATAGGATGAAGGGAAATACAATTAGTTTCCCACAGCATGAGTACTATGGAAGTGTTTTGCATGACTACACAAGTATAATCTTTATGGAATTGCTTGCCTTCTCAATGAGGGTGGGTGGGGAGGGAGGAATGGACAAAATTTGGAACCCAAACTTTTAAAAAGAAATGTTAAAAAATTGTTTTCACATGCAACTTGGAAATAACATACACAGGCAATGGGGTATAGAAATCTATCCTGCCCTACAGGAGAATAGATGAGGAATGGGATAAGGGGGGGAGATAGAAGGGAGGGCAGATTAGGGGATGGGGTATACAGAATGAATGCCATCTTGGGGTGGGAGAAGGGATGAGATGGGAGAAAATTTGGAACTCAAGATCCTGAAGCCCAGGTGGTTGAGCAGGCAAACAACAACCCTGGACCTCTGAGAGCCTCAGTGAGGGTGAGGGAACTGGTGGAAATGAGCTCAGAAAACCACCAGGTGACTAGGCATTCTACAGCAAAGGAGCTTCCCAGTGCCTCAGCAGATCCAAGGGAGGCAGCACTGCAAGGGGCTATAGGCAATAAACACCCTGCAGCACCCATCTAAAACGAGCTGAAGAATGCTAAAGGAAAGGAAAAGCAGACAACCTAAAATTGTCTGAAAATTCCAGCCTTGCTGATTCCAGCCCAACACCAGGTAAGCTGCCAGAACCTTACAGCCTCCAACTGCCAACATAAGAGGCCCCAGCACACAAATCCAGTGACCAAGACTTAGGTTCCCAACACAAGAAGCTTGGATTAGTGCCATTTGCTCCCCAGCAGGACAGCTCAATCTCTGTAAAGGAGAAGGAATAAAGAAACACTATGAGCAAAAAGAAATGCACCATAGATTAATATTATGAGAAAAGTGAAGATCAAGACAGAAATTCTGAAGAGGACAACATTGTCAACAAACCCACATCTGCAACATCAAAAGGGACTATAAACTGGTCTGAAGTCTAAAAAGTCTTCTTAGAAGAGCTCAAGAAGGATTTTAAAAGTCAAATGAGAGAGGTAGAAGAGTCCTTAAAAATACAATTGGCCAATTGGAAAAAAAGTACACTGAAGAAAACAAGTCCCTAAAAAAACACAATTGGACAACTGGAAAAAAAGTATACTGAAGAAAACAAATCCCTCCAAAATACAATTGGCCAATTGGAGAAGGAAGTACAAAAACTAACAGAAGAAAACAATCTGTTAAAAGCTATAATTGGACAAATGGAAACTAATGACTCTCTAAGAGAGTAAGAATCAGTCAATCAGAAACAAAAAAAAATGAAAAAAACAGATGAAAACGTAAAATACCTCATTGATAAAACAACTGACCCGGAAAATCAATCCATGAGAGACAACTTAAAAATTATTGGACTACCTGAAAATCATGATGAAAAAAAGAGTCTGCACAGTATCTTTCAGGAAATCATAAAGGAAAACAACCCTGAAGTCTTGGAACAAGAAGGTAAAATAACGATAGAAAGAATCCACCACTCACTGCCTGAAAGAGATCCCAAATTGAAAACACCAAGAAATATAATAGC